TCAATTCTAATTGCTTAATATTCTTATTGTTAAGTCTATCTGCTCCTATAGCTTAATACTTAACTGTTATACTATAAATTTTTTATAATTAGTCACTGCTGATTCATTTCATATTATTCATTTTTCTCTGTCCACACACTCATGATATTAATTAAAACCAGGAATATAATTTTGCAGCTGTTTTTAATTTATAAATTTAAACAATTTAACTTTAAAATGTTGATATATTTAGAAACATAATTAATAGGCCTAATTATAAAATATAAAATCCTATTAAAATAATGTTAATTGGAGAAAATCCAAATTATTTACACTCCAAGGTACACTTTTTTCTTAATTAAATTATTAAAATCTGGTAATTTTAATCACCAGATAAGTATTATTTTGTAAAAAATTGTTTAAAAATCTCGAAAATTTTAAGAATTTTTGTCATTTTTTTTATTTAGCTTATTAATTTTTTATACAGATCATTTTCTTTTAGGATCCTTAACCTATGAGCTTACTCTTGGCATTACATTAACTTTGCTTAGTTAAATCGCTAATATACTATGGGCTAAAACTTGAAATTATGGGCTAAAAATGATCTAAAAATACTTGAACGTATGGACAAGAAAAAAAACGTAAAAAAATATTTGGAATTATGAGCTAAAACTGAGTAAAAATATTCAAAAATTACTTGGAATTATGGGCTAAAAATAAGTAAAAATGCTCAAAAAATACTTGTGAAAAAAAATAGGTAAAATATACTTGAAATTATTGGCAAGAAAATAAGTAAAAAGACTCCAAAAAAGACAAAGAAGCAACGATCAAAATGATTTTATTTAATCATAAAAAAAAAAAAAAAGCAAGTGAAAGTGTGGAGTAGACAATTCGTAGTTTTGTCAAAATGTAACCAAACANTTATTAGTTTAAATTACAAGACCCTATGAGCTTACTCTTGGCATTACATTAACTTTGCTTAGTTAAATCGCTAATATAGTAAGAAATTTTATAATTAAAAGACTTTTACGGCTTAAACATTGTTTAAAATGTGTAAAATTATAAGAAAACATTCCCATTTTCTTTATTATAACTTATTAATTCTTAAACAAGTCATCATCTTCTAAGATGTTCAACGCAAGAACTCGCTTCTCGCAACATATAAATGAGATTATTACGCTAATATACGAGTCATTTTAATTAGGAAAATTAATTTAAAAAGTGCAAATTACAATAAAGAATAATCGCAATTAATAATTTCATTAAAATAAAAGCATTTTTCCTTACAGAAAACGAATATTTTGGACACTTTCTAAGTCACCGAAATCGATCGAATCGATGGAGAAAACCTCTTATTCTCAACGAAAATATTTTAAAAAATTAATTTATCTTGCTTAATATTATAGTCCTGAACATGAAAAATTCCTTATTTTCGTGTTAAGAGCCGGCAAACAATGAAGGAAAAGTGATTCATAAGCGATTGACAAATAACAGAATGATCAACATCTTGGATCCTGACACATCAGAAAATGTTAAGAGAGGAAAGAGAAAAAAAAGAGGTCCTAGAAGAGACTCTACGCAATATATTTAGACATTAGAAAAGCCACAATGTACACAGCAATCCATCGTTTTGTACAAAATAAAAACCCATCTATCGTTTCTATATAATGTGACAAGTCGACAAGCTAAAGCTGAAGATGGATTAAACTTGAACTCACTACTATACTCATATCGTTTCAATCAGGCTTTAGATATAAATCCTATATTTTTCTTTATTATAAGCTACTACATATAGGGCCTAAATATTTCTTTAAAAATTGGCCAAGTTTTGGTGTAAAATTCACGATTTTTAAGTCAAAACTTTGTTTACTACTTACCTAATTTTTCTACTTATAAAGCTATATTTTGGACTGGAAATTATCATTTTTTAGACCAAAAACTAGCTTAGTACCTATTTAATTTCTCCAAATTTAAGAATTAAGCCAAATTTTTGGGCTAATAATCATAATTTTAAGCCCAAAACTGGCTCAGTACTCATTCAAACTTCACTAGTTTTTTTAAGAATTTAGCCAGTTTTTTTTGGTTTAAAATCATAAATTTAGGCAAAAATCTGAGTTAAAATTTATATTCGGATTTAAGAATTAAACCAGATTTTTGGTTGAAATTTATAAATTTGTAGGCCAAAATCTAGCTTAATTAGTTATTCAATTTTTCTATATTTAAGCCATGATTTTGGCTGGAAATTATAATTTTAGGCCAAAATCTGGCTCAATTCTTATACAAATTATTCAGATTTAACAATTAAGCCAGATTTTAGGTTGAAATTTATAAATTTTAGACCAAAATCTGACTTAATACTTATTCATTTTTTCCCAGATTTAAGAACTAAGCCTTTTTTTTTTTTGGCCCAAAAAAAATTTACGAATTTTAGGCCAAAATCGAGGGTAATTCTAGATAAATTTAATCGATTTTATCATTTAAACATATTTATTACAAATGACAATTTAGTTAAATTAATTGTGTTAGCAACAGGTGTGTGTGAGCCAGTGTTTTTCTATTGTGATACTGAACACTTCAATCTCGAACAATACACCATTTTATCTAATTACAAACGACTATATCCTACAGGTTTACGTTCCTAAACCGTGAAAAATAATCGAATTAAACGGTCTTTACTTAAACATAATAAATTAACTCATTAACATAATTAATTCGAAAAGGATTATTTAACATTATCATCATTACAATTAACTAAATTCTGTAATTAAAGTATTTTAGGTATTAAATTTGCCTTATTTATTTATTAATTTTTTTTACGAATAAGGCAGTTAATTTGCTTAATTAAAATATAAGAATTCGTGGAATAGAATAAGAAAATAAAAATAAAAAGAAACAGCATCATTTAATTATTATTCTAAACTGTTTTTGACATTAAATTAAAGAACGAAAGAAGTGATGACATTCGTACACTTGTCTAAACGACATATTTTATGTAGTGGATAGATTTAAAGTCAATTTTTCGCATTTATCTTCTTGCTTGAAAAGATATTCTCTCTCTCTCTCTCTCTCCTTCCCCCCTTTAAGGACGTCTGATCGCTTCGGCCATATGTCTTACATTTTAGCCAATTTTATTTTAAAATATGTTTATCCTCGATTATAATTTATAAAATTAGAAAGAAAATATCCAAAACTTGATTATCCACTCGATAAATTACACAAAAAAATCCTATAGGAGAGTAGAAACTCGTCACTCGCAATGGTAAAGTATAGCGAGTTTATGCTGATTTTTTTTCATAAAGAAACTCTTTTATCGGATTTAACTCACGATAAATATTAAGTAGAGAAGGTAATTTAGTTAGTTTAATGGATATTTTACCATTTAAACAATTAAATGTATTTAAAATTCCATATTTGAATTAACCTATCAATGGCACAAGTTTTGACATAAATTTCCATATAAAAAAAAAAGCGTACAGAATTTAACTTACTATAAATGTTAAATAATGAAAGTAATTTAATTATTTTACTCGATATTTAGCTTTTTTATACAATTAAATTGACTAAAATTCCAGGTATGAAGTGTACAGTATCTATCCATTAAACATTGTACCCTTGACAATTAGTTAAGTTCTTACGTACAGAGAATGTAGTGTACACGATTTTAACTGACGAAAAACCTTAAATAAAATAAGAAATTTAATTATTTTAAACAATATTTAGCCCTTTAAACAATTAAATTAACTAAAATTCCATGTTTAAAAGTAGTATACTTTATACGATATAAAATATTGAACGTTTAACAATTGGTCTTTAAAAGATGGAAGATTTTACAAATAAATATAACTTTGATAAAGTATTGCTTTATTTGATGTATATTCTGACCTTATGACATCACAAGTAAGCGATGACGGAAATGTCTAAAATATGATAAGCTAGGCCTATATCTGTCAAGGGATACTTATATCAACACTCAGAAACAATTTTGATATTTGGAATTTGTACCCACCTTAAGCGTGTTCAATACAATTAAATATATGATAGCCTAAATTTAGAATTTTTTCATAGAAATAAAGCTATAAATTAAAAACATTTCTTTCATTAAATTGTTTTTCTTTTCCTGTATACAATGTACAGTATACAGGGGGGAAAAGAAAAGAAAAAAAAAGAAAAAACTATTGAGCGAAAGGCATTGGTGCATGTAATTCAGACCCTTTAATATTATTAGTTTAAATTACAAGACAAGATAGGCCTATGCTTGTTAATGTAGATAATTTCTCTTTAACTATTTAATTAACGCATTAAATCACTTCATAATAATGCTTGATTTATAGGCCACATATACAGTGGAATCTACAGATCCTATCGATGTCTCTCATACAGTAATTATAAGTTAAATAGAGTAAAAATTTCCCGTAAATTACGTTCCTAAATGCCTAAAATTTAAAGTTTTTTTTTCTCTGTATATTTTACCCATTTTTTCCCCACTATTTCAGCTGTCAAAGTAGGCCCGAAGCGTGTTGTAAACTGCTTATAAAAACAGTAAAACGTGGTCGTGTTTGTCCGTAAAATGAATTTAAAATTAATAAAAAAAATTCTTCTATCGATCTATCAAAACCGGACACAGAAATATTTTTATTTGTTTCTCATATGACACAACGATACATCATTAGATAAAAGCACTAACACGGCCTTTGAAAGGAAACAATATTGCACGCTCCAAAAAAATAAAATAAAATAATTAAATTGTATTTAAGTTAATTATAGATTTTATAACGTTAAAATTAATTAAAATTTTTACTTAATTTTTCACACTAAACACCATTAAAAGCGAGCCTCAAGTTACAGTTAAAGATACCCGGGAAGCGTGTGGCCTTGCTTGTGTTTCATGCTTTTTTTTTTTACGTCACAGAAGAAGAAGAAAAAAAAAACACGCGAAGAAATTAACGTAATTATACAATTGAAAATTATAGAAGAAATATCTTAGGAATTTTCGACGTTAAAAAAAAAAAAAAGTTACTCACCAAAGTCATGAGCCTGTCGGCACCGGTACCCTCTTCGTCTTTAAATATAATATCGCTGTTATAATTAGGCACTAACTCTTTAAACCTTGGATCATCTCTTGTAATTTTACCATCCCCCTGTCCACTTGCTGCTAAAGTAGTTTCGGCAACGTTAGGTACATGTTGCTTGAAGACCAGCGGTGTTAACTTTCGTGGTCTTTGGCGCCGACCACCTCCCCTGCCAGGACCACAGGCATCAACAGCGGTGGAGAATATTATTAATAATGCCAAAGCACCAGTACCAGAAAGAGATCTCCAGTACCACCTTTCTGATATAAAACGCGTTAACTTCATGTTGGCATCGTTGCTTTATCCTCCGCATACGTTAATCCAATCTATCTTCCCATGGCTTCCTCTCATCGGCTTCATTTCTATACACCACTTTGAACCTCTTATTTATTATTATTATATATATATTTTTTTCTCCCACAGTTAACTTCGAGCTTCGGTAACCTTTGACCTCTCCATAGTCCCGTTTCTATCTGACAGATTATCGGCTAGTTGTGTCTCGTCGGCTAGTGCAACTGCTAGGTGTGTTTAGCCAGCACTTCACACACACGACCTTTGCACCCTTGCTTCTGATTGGCTCCTCACAAAGTTGACACTTTTTCAAACTTCGTCCGCTCGCCGAATAATAAATTGTTATTAAAATATTAAGGAAATTACTCGTTAAAGGTACGGAGTCTCTACGCCGTCTTGTTACTGTGTTAAAATGGGGGAAGGGAAATAAAAAAAAGGGAAAATATATATATATATACAGGCTATATAACCGTGTATTGGATTTCTGTAGTGTTCATTAACTTATTATGCAGACGTCGAACCTGCTGCGATCTAGCCAATGGTGAGAAAGAAATGTGTTGAGCCTCTTTCTTCCAATTACATACCCCGACGATGCTGCTGCAAATGAACAGCGCTGTTGGGTACTGCTAGAGCATCTGACTGTTTTTCTTCACTAATTTGTTGCTGAAAATAAGGCACAGTCGTTTTGTTTTTCTTTATTTTTTTCCCTTCTTCATTAATTTGATGTAGTAAGTAGGGAAAAATTATTTTATGTTGCCTTATTTTTTTATTAATCTGCTATAAACAATAGGGGAAAGTCATTTGTTTTTACTTAATTGTTTTCATTGATTTGCTACACAAAAAAAGGGAGGAAATCATATTGTTATTTATCCCTTATTTCTCTTCTCTATTTTTCTACAGAAATTATATCTTTTTTTTTAATAAATTATTCTAATTAAATAACAATATTTTATACACATTAAAACACAGCAGCAGCCATTTTAAAAGGCCAATTTTGAGCAATAAAACACTTTAAAAAAAAACTAAACTAATTAAATTATTAATTTATAATGATTTTGATATAATTTCTACACACATAAATATATTTTTAAGCTTTACTTTTATACCTATAGGCCTTATACAAAAAGTATAGATTTATAATAATAATAATTAGAAGAGCATTATATAAAATCCTTTGGTGTTAAATCGAGTATTTGTATTCTATATAAACCGGGTGTAAAATAGAATATCGTGCTATGAAGAGGACATTGCTCACAATTAGTATAGTTTGTGGGGTTGCAGATCACTTGCTGAGCTCTACCAGTTTAAAGTCAATAGCAGTCGCATCCAAGTGTTATTGTGCTTTGTAGATGTTAACAAACACTATTTCGTCTTCTACTAAAAACATAACAGGTGGCTGCAAATATATTTTAAATGTTCTAAGTGTTAAAACATAATAAACTTTTTTAATTTTTAAACTCCGAATACCTTAAAATAAGTCTAAATATTCATATTTCTACATTCGTTTCTTGCATTCTATACAAACGTCATGTATGTGTTTTATTTAATTAACACCTGCTTCACCTCATTGTGATTGTTTGCTGGAGTCAGGGCCCTACTTAGACTTTTTGTGACCTTAAAAATTATAGCATGTAATAGGCCCTTCCCCTCTATCAAACGATGATACGTATAAAAATGTAAGGCCTTAAGTTGTAAGCTCATAAAGTCAGGCCCTAAACTACTTGCGTGCAAATCCGGCCTTAACTAGAGTTGTGCTTATTAATTTAATGGTTGTTTTTTTCCTTTATTGTTTTCTCTTAGAAGACAAGTTCTATTTACTGCAAGTTAAAGAGTAAAACAAATATTTCTCTTTATATGTGGCCAGATCATAAAGGAGATGAGATAGGGCTCGTGTGTGTTACAAATATAAGGCCCCATCCATCTATCAAAAGCATAAAAACTTTAATTTATACCTCTTTCATATCACGTAAAATTTTGGGTAGTACCGGATTAATTAATATTTATTTTGACCTTAAACTATAATACACAAGAGGCCCCTCTTTCTCTTTTAAATAATATCAAACAATAGGGGTGCATGCTTAATTAAAATAATGGTAGAACTCGTTTAAATTAGGTTCTAATTTTGCATCTTCTCTTCCTCCGAGGCCCTATTGGTTTTCTTATTCTGTACTTATTTTTGGTGTTGGACTTGGAAGAGGCCCTTTTCTCTCTGTTAAATAACATAAAACAATAGGGATAGGTGTTTAGAAGAATGGAGTCGTAGGATGAAACTTATGTATAAATTAGGCCCTAATTTTAGGTCTTCTCTGCATCTGAGGCCCTACCGGTTTCCTCGCTCTAGACATATTTTATCCTCTTTATATAATAAATTCCTTCCACGTTAAATCTACAAAGTTTCGGCAGGGTAAGGCATTAAAAAAAAAGGCGCGTATGAGTGGCAAGGTGATATTCTTTCGCCCGTGTACAGACACTGTCAGTGTTATTAATATCTCTGAGATATTTTGTAGAGCACTCGGTTGACATGATAAGTGTTGCCAAACCATCAATAAAGTCTGAGTTTATTGTGAAGGCCAGACAAGTTCCAGCCCTCAGGGCAACAATGCAGTAAGGACAATGTAGAAAGGTATATCGTCATTGTGACAGTCACGATTTTCGAAGAAGAATTAAGGAGAAATAAGTACAGAAAGGTACAGAGAAATGTACACTATATGGTAACTAGATTTGTCAGTTTGTAAAAGTGGAAAAAATAGAAACAAATTTATGCTTAGAGCTTCAAATTCTATTCTTAGAGCTTCAAATTATATTCTTAGAGATTCAAATTGTATTCTTAGAGCTTCAAAATATATCCTTAGAGCTTCAAATTTTGTGCTTAGAGCTTCAAATTCTATTCTTAGAGTTTCAAATTCTATTCTTAGAGCTTCAAATTTTATTCTTAGAGCTTCAAATTCTATGCTTAGAGTTTTAAATTCTATTCTTAAAGCTTCAAATTCTGTGGTTAGAGCTTTAAATTTTATGGTTAGAGCTTCAAAATATATCCTCAGAGCTTCAAATTCTATTCTTAAAGCTTCAAATTCTGTGGTTAAAGCTTTAAATTATATGGTTAGAGCTTCAAAATATATCCTTAGAGCTTCAAATTCTATGCTTAGAGTTTTAAATTCTATTCTTAAAGCTTCAAATTCTGTGGTTAGAGCTTTAAATTTTATGGTTAGAGCTTCAAAATATATCNTAATCAATGCTCTACTGTATTGCTAAACAGATTTATCACAGTAGAGTATATCATTCTACTTGCAGAAATTTTACATGAATTACATAGGAAACTATATTTTTTTTCTTGTTACGGAGAGATTTATTGTTATATCAATAATCATGACACTGAGATTTGACTGTATTCCATGTTTAAAAAAGTTTATTTAAAATTAAGATTATATGTAATAATCAAATCCTCAACTGTAAAAAGTTTTGATTAAAAAAACCAATTTTAAGTTATATTGAATTTACATCTTCTAATGCAAAGATGCTCATACGGGCAAGTGGAGTGGCTGTGTCTTAATCTATAGATCTGTATGCTTTGGTTATCCTAGTTCAAATCTCAAATTTTTAAAAAATTATAAAAAGTTTTTTATTTTTGCATGAAATGTAATAATCTTGTAATTTGAATCAATTAAATACCGGTTCTTCACACTAATAGGTCAGACTATTAACAAAGGTTTTTTTTTAAATTTTCCAATGATAATCGGCCTTTAATAATGGGTTTAAATCTTCAAAAATTATAAAAAGTTGTCTCGAAATCTCTACATTTATTCAAATTCTAAATAACCTGTTTATAAATGTAGTACGTGATGTCATTTGGGATGCTGTTCTATGCTATATAAAATGATACAAAGTTATACTGTATACAGGTTTAAAGTTATATAAATTATCTACAGATTTATTAATTAAATAATATATTTTCAAAGTTTATAAGTTTAATAGGCCCTACGCTTATATTATTTGTTCTATATTCGAAAGTTTGCAGTATAATTTGCTTGTCCCTAGCACTTAGAAGGCCTCAGAAATGTAAGATTTAACATAAGAAAACGTGTTTAAGAGTCTTATTTTATATTTTCGGACGGAGTGAGGCCTCGTGTTTGTCACTATAACGTACTTTTTGCCTCTATCAGGCCCTATTCATTGTCATCTATTAATTTTATGTATTTTAATGGCCTAAAATGGGGTCCTATCATAATAAATTTAAAAGCAAAAGGCCTGAGCGTATGTATAAATCCGACCCTAAATGTCAACCCTTTAATGTACTGTGTGAAAGCTACGATTTGGCCAATAAAATCTGGCCAAATCACGTGATTTGATAGATTATTTTCTTCGAATTGGAGTAATATAGTCTTTACAAAGTCACACTTTCATATGCTGTCATAATAATAAATGTGGTTATTCTAAAAATTAGTATACTTGGAGGGTAAAAGCATAAGCATGTAAAAACTTAAGCATATAAACTCCATAAAAACTGGGCATAAATGCATTTATGTGCTTAGTAACAATGCTTAAAATCTAGGCATAAAGGCTCTATAATCTGCCATAAAATATACATAATTTGGGCATAGAAGCTATGTAATTTGGGCATAAAAATCTACGTAATTCTCAATTAACTCCTCTCTCTCTCTCTCTCTCTCTTTCAGCGCATATTTAAATGACGGAATTCGAGGTACATTTTTAAATTACGTCACGACTCATAAACACAATTTAAACAGAGATGAATATGATAAACGTAAAGTATAATTTATGATAAAAATTCTTAATTTATAGTCCATAGTTTAGCGTTTAGTCGTTCAACAAGGCGTTAAATTTCCCTTGTGTACTTTAAGAAAATATGCGGGAACTTTTATGTGTTGTGTGTACCGGTTGGCTACTTGTGTGTGTCGGGGGGGGTTTCTTGTAACTGGTAAATGAGTAGGGCCCACATTCAAAACGCCAACAACGGTGCAACGTGTTTAAAGTAATTGTTTTGTCGGGAAGATCAAGAAAGGGGGAAATCACAGAGAAGGAAGAGTCACCTTGAAAATGGCAAAAGAGGCCCTCGGGGTACCGGTTGAAGTCGCGGTACTTTTTGCCTTGAAAACGGCACCCAACGCAGACTATACACCCACCCATGGTAACCCCGTTTCTGTTAATTATGCGGGTAAATACATTGTTGCATGCTTTCAGTAAATTCTCATGCTTTCACCATGAATAGTCTATGTTATGTACAGTACTTTGGCTCGTTTAGTACCATAAATATTTTCTATATTTATAAATAATTTGAGGAATTTTATGAATTTTTTATTGATTTTTTTCCATTTTTTAAATACCCATCATCAATTTCCATAGATTTCTATGGTAAATTTAAGTAAAAATAAAGTTAAACTGAGCTAACATAATT